AAGTCAAGTGTTTGTTTTTGTTCCTGTATAAGTTCCCGAAGAGATTAAACCCTTCACAACGCACAACAGCTCCTTTACCACCTTGAAGCAGGTATTGGCCATAACGGAGGCCAAGCGGCCTTATTCAACAAACCAGCCATGTTAAAGAACCGCAGTTAGTTTTTCTGTTTGTATTTCAAATTTTATATTCACTTTCAAATAATAAGTTCATTCAAACAACCAAAATAAACGTCAAAAAAGAGAGAGTGGTGCCTTCTTAATTTAGAAAGCCTCGGGTTACTTAACTCTGTGCTAGTTTCCATTGGTGCAATATGTACATTGTCTGGTTTAGGAATATGAAAATTTCAACTCTGAGCAACTTAACTCTCTATTTATATATTTAATTCTGGGTGTTCCCCAAGTAGAAAACATTTATTGTGAATCAAATTTTATTTCTATAAACTTTCACAAGAAACAAAAAAAAGCTTAGAATAGTCGAATTGGTAAGAAATTGTATACATAACGAAAATTGGTCTGAAGGATTGAGTGTGAATAAAGTGCGTCATTGTGTTCTGTGGTAACTTCACAAGTAAAGGTAGTACTTCTTGCGGCAGTAATCTTTAAATAATCATATCCACAGTATACAGTAAACCAGCCATTGACAATATGCTTATTTGAAAATTCCCACCATGCAAAACATGAGAAATAGGCAACAATTGTCAATGGCAACAAATTGGCGACTCACCGATTTATTGCTGTGGTGACAAATCGGCAACATCACTTCGTTCATGTCAATTTTGAATAAAAAAGTTCTCAAAAATTCCGAAACTTATGAATATGGCGTCAATAGTATTGGCCAAAAGCGTCTAAATTATGCCCAAGGAGAAGATTGAAAAAATAGGAAGTCTCACAGCGAGAAAATGAATTAATTCCGATTGTAAGTTGCAATTTGGTATACAAAAAAATAAATGAGGTATTAAAAAGAATAAAATTATTCCAAATATCGCCTGAAGCGATAAGAAAAGGACTCATTCAGGTAATAAGAAAACGACTCGCCCAGGCGAGTTGCCTTCGGCGGACGTTTTAGAGCGACCGGTAATAGGAAATCGATTCGATGGCAATATTACCGGCAATAAATTTGTTTCCGAGGGCGACACGTTTTCTTATTACCGGCAACACAAATTGTTTGGTGGGTTAATACATGAAATATTGTGCATGTATAGGATTTTTTCGTCATTAACCCATAGGCAACGACTGGTCCAAAATTACCCACAAATGTTTGTTGATATATTTTAAATGTAAATTTGAACAGCAAAATTTGTAAAAAAAAAAATAATAAAACAAAAATATTGTTAATTACTGCATGGGAGGTGGGCGTGGTTATTGACAGATTTCGCCAAAATTTAATACTAACATAAATTATACCAAAGGCAAGTTCGGCACCGACTCTCGTTAAAATATCCAAGTTTTGCTCGAGTCAGCGTGTTTATCAACACGGTTGAACCACTTCATCTTGTCATTATGAATATTTTGAAATAGGTATGTATGTGTATACATATATGAAAATAAATTTTATACGGTTGACTAAAAGGCCCTACACACGGATCGATTTATCGGCCAACCAGTTGGCTAACAGCTAGAAGTTGGTGGTAAATTAGCCGTGTGTACACAAGTTGGCAAACCTTCATCAAGTTGTTCGTCAGGTTGGAGTAAAATCTAAAATATTTGATTTATGAGGCAGAGGGGTCAACTTGTTGCTCTGTGTGTAGACAAGTTGGCAACCTAAAATGCGATTTCATTTTTTTTAAAGGCGCCTTTAACGGGCTCGCTTATCTGCATAAACCGTCTTTACTTGCATTAACTCATGCATTATCCTCTTTCAAATGTGAATAAGCCGCTGAACAAATACATACAAATTTCGTGCATTTGTTTGAGCATCGAGATATAATTTTGTGTACATATTTCATAAAAGCTATGGAGGTCTCCAATATAAGAGTGGTATATTTGAAAACTAGAGAGTTCTACATTTAAGCTAAGTAATACTTGTTTTATCCCTAAACAATGGGACCATTTTCCAATGTCAGCCCACCAATATTCACCCAAATTGTGTTCGCAACTGCATCCGGTAATAATCGGTTACGCTTCACGCCTAATTTGCTTGGAAATTTGTGTTTCTCGTTATTTTATTTTATGTGACTTGAAAATATTTTTCACTTTAAGAAAATATTGAAATTGGATTTCATTTGGGTTAACGAAAACGACAACTGTGAAAAAATATCAACCAATACATTCAAACAAATTATCAAATAAGCATATTTACATTTTTTGTTTTGCCTATCTGGATTACTGTATACTGTGATCATATCCACTTAATGCTTTCTATTTAGTGATTATATTTTCTTACGAACAAGTAATTTTCAGCCTTATAACTTTACATATACATACATATGTACTATATCTATGGAAGAAATATTTTTTATTGAAAACCGCAAAGATTTGCCCTACTAAATCAGGGATGCAGTGGTAATATCGATTTCCCGTTTCAACCGGAAGTGGGTTAAACTGACCAGAAGTCCATTTTATTTATTTATTTTTTTTTTCAAATTAGACGCCAATCAAATCAGCCAGCTGTAGCAAAAAATTGAGCTAAATAGAAAATTAAACTCACTTCTGCAGGTTAAATGACTAAACAGAGCTGCAGCTGATACATTTTATTGGATTTTCGTAAAACTCATTTGCCCCAAATTGAATGACATCATTAAGAACGGCTTCGTGATTTCGAGTACTTATGTATTTAGTACATTACATAGCATTCGTCTGAGACAATCGAATAGAAAGAACTATGACCGAACTGTAGTAGTGGAGCGATATAAGGTTAAAAGGAGGAGCGAGAATGAAAGGGAAACGTAATCGCAACAAAAATCAGGCAGTTATGAGAAAACAAAATAAATTACTTTCTACTAAACTTCACTTACATACATACATATGTATTTATGTAGTTAGTGGGGATGTAGATATGTCTCAATGGGTCTAGCTCGGCTAAGGAATGTGGGCCAAAATACGAAAGTGGAGAATGTTTTGTAAACAGGACCTACATATATGTATATGTATGGATATGTATGTATATAGATATGCGATGTGGTGGAGAGAATAAAGAATTCGCTCATCAAATGTTAAGAGAAGCAGAGAGACTGTTATATGCTAGGAAAGAAACGGAAAGGCAGTGGGAAATTGTTTTGAGCAGAAATAATTTTTTTTTTAAATGCCTAACAAAGTTTTACTAAAAAATTGTTTTTAAAATTGTTCATAGAATCAAAATTTTATAACCATATATATAACTTTTTGCGTAGCTGTCTTGCTCGTATGTATGTCAGCTGATAGAACTAGGTTAATGGCGTAGAACAGTGGAGCGTAGCATGCCAAGTGGCACACACAACGCATACCTCCAACAAACACTTGATAACATTAGTGGTGAAAATACATACATACATACACATGTATATTCATCCTACCGCAGATTTAGGAAATAAGCGCTATGAAGGGTGAATGCGAAACAAAACGATTAAATACAAATGCGTAATAAATCGAAGAGTGAAATTTTATAAAACAAATACATTTATCTAAGACTCATGAAAATCCCGCTAACTTGTTCCTCTCATTTCAAATGCCAAAACAAATTTCTTCGAATACTTACAAAATTCATATGTATGCTCATTTACGAAAAGACTGTTCATTCTACAAGAAAAAAACATAAAAATATAATTCCTAAACTTTGTGCAAAACTCGCGAAAATTCAGCAAATTTTCATGAAAATTTTCAACTTTTTAATCAGATTTTTTAGAATTTTTTTGAGTATGCATATTTTTAGCCCAATAACATTATTTTATAATAATAAAGTGCAAGTTTTAAGTAGCTAGGAAGTACCGCTGATTTTTGGCAATTTTTTTTCACGCAGTCTCTTCCTTACAAAAATTTTTTTTTTTTGGAAATACTTTATATGGAAAAAATGCAAAACACCTTCAACAAAAAAAAAAATTCTCAAAAATCAATGAGATTTTTGACTAACTCCGAACTTACATTTTTTTTTAACTTAACTTTTTGAACTTAAATTTTTAACGGGCTGCAAAACTGCATACTCAAAAAAATTATAAAAAATCTGATTAAAAAATTGAAAATTTTGATGAAAATTTGCTGAATTATTTTTATGTTTTTTGTTGTTGAATGAACCATATTTTTATAAAAAGTTGGCGGAAAAATATTAGAGTAAAAATTGTTGCTTATATTGTGAAAAAATTGCTGTGCCAATACTTTGTTCCGGCAGTGTAGTTCATTAAACAGCAAATCACATGAATTAACTTTTTTTAATTGCACGCAGAACTCGTGAAAATGCAAGAAACTTTCATCGAAATTTTCAATTTTTTCAATACGATTTCTTCGAACAATTTTGATTTTTGAGTACTTTTTTCCGAGGGTTTTGCGCATTTTCTTCGATATAACGCATGAATATTTGTGAATTTTGGTGGTTGAACTAAGAGGTCCATATGGACTAATTCTAAGAGAGCTCAGCGATTTGTCAGACGGTGCGGCCCAGTTTTGATGGAATTTAGCGGTTAATGCTACAACCCGCAGGCGGAGAGGAAGTCACCACATTAATACTAAAATGAAAGCTATAAAGATATGTTTGGTAATCTGCTAAGCATTCGGAATGAAGCAATAAACTGTATGATAGTTTTTCTTAACGATACTCGATAGGTAAGCCTGCATTTATGTATATTGTTATTTTTTTCCATATAAGGTCGCAAGCACAAATTAAAAGAGGGTCCGGGACAAAATCAGAAATCATCCATAAATATACAAGTGTATAGGTATGCTGAGTTTTCGGAGCATTTATAAATAGTTTTAAAAAAATTGATCCCTTGCTATCAATTATTACTGAGAAATGCGTGTCTTATGAGCTTCAATAATGTTAATATATACGTACATAGGTATGTAAATGTGTAATACAAAGTAAATGCACTTACCATACGGTGCGGTCCACGAGTGAGACGGGCGAGTATCCAGCAAATAATGGCGGTGCAGCCGGTTTTTCGAAATCGAATTCAGTGGTGCAAGTTCAAATGTTTTCAGTGTCGTTTATGTACGCGTTTTTTTGCAGTTGTCAATATTTGTTGCAGATGAGTCAGAAATTTTAATTAGATTTTAGTTAGTTTTGATTTTCGTTTATTCAAAATGAATGCATGAGTATGTATGCGTGTAATTATGTCCACAAGTTAACACACAAAAAAAGTTTTCACGAAGTTACATATGAATCACAAAATGAAAGCGAGTTAAATAAACAAAAAAATGTAAAGAAAATTGTTAATTAATACTCATTATTTATTGCATTTGCACTTTTAACTCTTTTGTTAATGTTTAATATTCTCTCACAAATGTGTGCCCTTTGAACTGTATTTAATTCACATGGATGCTATGTATAAACACAATGCTAAAGAGTTAGTTAAAAATTTGGAATAAAATTTGTTGTCATAATATTTGTAGCATGATTATGTACATTGGGGTGGCCCTTAAAAATCAAATGAACGATTTTTTTTTTTGGTCTCACCTCCTTAATCGGCAATACTACGGTCACAGATATGACAAATAAATTTTGGTCGCGATTAGAGACAGTTAAGGCGTGTCCCACAGGGGGCAAAGCTCAGATTCCTCTATACATAGACTCAAAAAGTTAAAATTAATTTTTTTATCTAAGACTCAAAATCGATACTATCATAGTCGAAGATATCACATATAATTTTGGCCCCGATTGAAGTTGGTTAAGCGGTGTCGCAAAGAGGTCAAAAGCCAGATGGAGGCCTCTATGGAGACTCAAAAAATTAAAAATTGCAGTCGGTTAAGACGATTTCATAGCGGCAATCTGAAATTTGACCCCTGTGCAGCACGCGTTAACCGACTGCAATCGGGCCCTAAATTTATATATATATATATATATATTATTTATATCTTCGACTATAGCAGCATCGACGTAGGTGTTGAGGTTTAGGAAATCTGATGTAAAAATTAGCTTGCTATATTTAATGACCACCCTAATGTAATGTATGTATGTATGTACAGATATGGTAGATACATATAAGCTCGTATATACATAAATTACTTTTTATGTGTGGTTAGTAAATATTCGAAACCTCTATCATCCGCCATTTCATGACTAAGTATATACATACATACATAGTACTCAAATATAATTAAACATGGAGGTACATATCGTCGATGTTTTTGCCAAACCGCTCATCGACAAATTGAAAAACCGCCTATCTTACGACACTCAAATTTTACAGGAGAGCAAAAAAAAACGGGTTTTCTTCGAAGGCATTGCGCCTTGATAGGAGGTATTTTCTCTAGCTATTATTTTACAAATCTGTTGTTTTAATAACGATTTTATGATTTTTATGCATAAATCTCAATGCCTGGTGTTCAGGGTTACCAAATCTCATTTTTGGCACAACGGCGATTTAGGCGGTTTTGCAGCTGGTCGATGGGCGGTTTTGCAAAACATGCTCTAAATGATTGTCTCTGGTTCTTAAAAAATAATAATAATATTCAACTTCCACAGCCAAAGGTAGACAAGTTTGTCATTACGTACATACATATATACTATACATATCGACCCCTTTGCGCAAAATTATCGTATGTTACAAAAACCAAATTTTACAGGAAAGTGTTTTTTTTTGTATTTTTCTCTGCTTTGACTAGCACCATCAATACCAAAGTTTAGATTTGCTGAGATAATTGAGAAATATAACTAAACGCAAGAATTTTTTTGTAAAAAGGTCTCTAATTCTTATTTCTTAGCCCGTATGATAATTTCGCCCACAAGAAAAAAATCATTGACACATACGATAAAATTTACAGTCAATTTTTGGGGTAGCTATTGGGCCTCAAGCCATAATATTTGAACACGTGATGCGTCTACATTTTTTATCTGCTACCCCTCAGTTTAGTTTCATTCCATAAAGAAAAATGTTGGTGAAGAAAATTGTAGATCAATCGGTTAAGGATAAGGAGTGTCCTCAGGCCCCTCAAGGACTCGAGTATTTGAAAAATCACAAAGGTAGGCACTCGAAGTGTTACCAATTAAAAATTCTATAATTTTGTCTATTTTGCTTTTTTTAATCGAAAACATCAGCTCATTATAAGAACCAGTCAAGGTTTAAGAAAAATGTATTAATGTTCGATGTAGCCATAAACTGGGAATTTTTTACAACCTATCGCACATGTCACAGGGGTTTTAATACCTGGTTCGCATACCGTCTGTTAGAATAGATCTTAATGAAAATGCACACTAAATCGCTTAGATTGATGAGGAAAAAGGATCTAGCCATGCCCGATTAACTGGCCTTGTGTGCAAAAGAAAATTCCAGCATTAACTAATTAATCACCAAACCTACTTAATCAAATTAAGGGTTAATGATTAAAAATTAATTTTTTAATTGCGGTTACGATTAACTGTTCGATCATATTAAAATTCATCATAATTAACTGTTATCAGATTGGATTAAATTGAATTAACAAATTGATTAAAAAAATCAATCGATTAGTGCCAACACTGATTGTGAAGACGTATGGCTATCAAATGAAAGAATATTCAAGAATAATTTGTGTTTGCGATTACATTGTCATTATCATTTTAAATTGTGTATTATCACACCGTAATATAAGTTTTGACTAAATTCAATGTTTTTTTCCATGTCAAAAATTGTGCTTTCGAGATTTTCTTATCTATATTGCTTTTTTTTAGAAAGGAAAAGAAGTAGCCAACCAAATTAGAAGTTTGGATGTTATTTAATGCTTATTATTTTGTATAAATGTAGAGTGAAAACGATGTAAGTTAAATCTTGAACTGCCTGCAAGGATTATAATAAATGAAGTGACTACAAAATATAGTTGATTTTTGGTTAATTTTATTTTTGTGGCGGTGTTATGAATTTTTCCAGATTGTTCGAAAAATTGTTCTATATTGAGAAAACGAGCAACACCTGCTACAAAAAAAAAGTTGCCAAAAATCAACGGATATTTCTAGCTACCTCAAACTTAAACTTTATTGCACTAAAATTGAAAGGACTACAAAACTGCATGCTCAAAATGTTTCTAAGAAATCTATTTAAAAAGCTCGAAACCTTGATGAAACTTTTATGAAAAGTTTGATTTGAACTTAAATGGTTTTGGTTGGATAACAAGCTATACTTGCATTAAAAAAAAATAAACATAAAGCAAACAAAAGAAAATTAGCCCAAAAATTGCTATTTATATTTTCGCCAAAAATTTAATTTTTTAAATGCTTTTATGGAACTTGTTTTACTTTCAGGTCCGAAGGCGATATATAAGATATCTCATTTCATTAAGCCCTAATTTCGCAGAGCTGATTTTTCCATGAACTGGAACCAAACTGAAGGTTAGCGCATCGTAATTTTTAAATAGTACCTTATAAGATCCACCCGTACGTCAGTGTATGTATTTTACTTAGTACATATGTAAATGTTTAGTATGTTTAGAGTTAAATAAATATGTATATTTGTATCTAAATTTCTTTCCACCATCGATGGATTAATGTACAAATACACAGTTATGGAACAAAAGAGCCATCAAAGTAACGAATACAAGTAAAAATGCAAGGAAAATATTGATTTGTACAAGTTTCATTAAATACAAACTTACGCTATCAAATCGAAATTGTAAAAAAATGCTTTAAGGAGTAAAGCAAAAAATTTTAAAAATAATAAAAAAAAACGAAATGCATAAAATTAAAACACAATTATATATGTACATATGTATGCATTTATATAGTTAACAAAAGGACAGTCAGGATGGTGAGGGTTACAGAAATCGCTTGATGGACAGACAAGCAAGACAGTAACATTGATGAGCTAATAACACACATGTGTATGTATATAGATAGGTATACATAGAGTATGGCGATTGTGATTAACTCACTCGATTGAAAGTTTGTAGCTTAACCGGGGTGAAAGGATGTGTTTGTTGTGCGCGCGAGTGCTAGTGGGACAAGGCCACCAAGTATTTTGCAAGTTCAGAAGGGACGCAGTTGTCACGATGCTCTGTGGATACGTTCAGCTGGCGAGATGCGAGATGCACGCGTTCAGATACGATACAAAAAAGATATTTAGAGCAGCGAAACCGCAAAAATACTAAATGCCGAAATACTTTTTATTTGAGATTTTTGTTTTTGTCGGTGTATTTTTAATGTTCAGCGCTTACTTATATTCGAGTTTTTCGTTGTTTATTTTTATATTTTCTGCTTTGTGTGTTTCTTCGATTATCATTGTTATTATTTCGTATCTGAACAGCAGCGAGATGCTCTCGTATCCAAGCAGTTGTAAATCGGATATTTATATGCCTTCCTTTTCAACGACTTGCTGTTGAAAATTCGCAATTTTATTTGGTTTGATGCGCTTTTATGAAGTTTGCTTGAATTTACGCGAGATAAATCAGAATTTTACGCGCGGTAAAATTACTGAAAATATACATACATATGTGATAATGTGATATGAATATAATATAATATAACTTTCAATGTGCTTAGTTAATGAATGCCTTAATAAATGATAACAATCAATTTGCTGGACGTTTGAATTATTAATCAGATGTTATTCAGACATATTTTCCAACGCCGTTTGCTCTTCAAAAAACAAAAAAAAAAAAAAAGATAAGGGCTGTTTATAGATTGCAAATCATGTCACATTATTGTTATTTTGTTTTTGTTAGTAAACAATTTGCTTATCGTGCGGGTTACGATGCCCGGGAATGTCTGTGCAAGTGAACTTGGTGCAAAAGCAAGGCCAGTGTTTGCCGCCAGCACGAATTCGCTAGCTATTAGCTTTTCAGTGATAAAAATAGAACATTTGTTTGTAATGACTTAATGCTTTAGACGACAACCACTTTGCTCTTTTCGCCTCAATCAACCAAAGAATTAGTTTGCTGCATTCAATTTTATTATTTTCAATAGTAAAAAAAAATTCCTTAAATACATATATTTTTTTTACTATCAATATTATTTCTTTCATTTGCATTTTTAATAATTTTTTTCCTTCCATCTCAATGTTTAGTTGTTTTTCTTTTATTTTCTTTTTTCTGCACAAATTGACATGTTTATTTGGTTGCTTGTTTACTTTATTTTAGTTTTGCCCCCAATCGTATCAATATGGTGCTCACTGTGCTGTTATGTCAATAAGAACCTGACAAATCATGGCTGATTCTCACTGCTTTAGTAGATGCTGCAGCGATGATATCAGCTGTTCGATTTTTCATGAGGTAGAAATATTTTAGTAACTTCGTTTTGCAGCAGACATTGTAATCACTATAAGCAACAAAGTAGAAGACCGTTTCCGAAATTCATTTCATTAACTTATTTTATGTGTTTTTGGGGGTTGGAAAATTCAAATATTACAGTGGCAACACAGGGAGAAGACGTGTTGGCTACACACAGCTAGTAGGCACGCACCAAATACAAAAAAAAAATAAATATTAGCAATTCATGCTTTTTTTCGTTCTAAAATATTCCGCGACGAAATCATTTTAGTTAACTTCTACTGTCGATATTTTTGTATAATTATATTTGTATCCATTCTTTTGGTTACACAGCACATATGGGTACATGTGTATGTGAATAGCTACTATATGTACATATATATTATTTGTTTTTTTTTCAATTTAGCACCCAAACGTACCTTACTCGCAGAGTTTCAATTTCAAACTGACTAGCAAAAGAATCTATGAGATAGGCAAGCAACGCACGCCAGCAGATACTCACCGCTTTTTCGCTTAGTCCATAGTAACATTCGCAAACTTGATGGCTCCACACAGTACATTAGCGACGACTGAAGCACGTCACGATGCCCCAGTTCTCCACATGCGGCATTCACCACTCACCACCACTCACAGCATTTTTACCACCACATTTACTCTCTCATTTGTTATGCGCAACTCTCGCATACACACAATCACCCAAACGCATTTGTCCTATTTGCTCTAAAAGCTTTATTGAGCGTCGAGCTTTTGCATTTGAATTTTACCTAATATGTAAAATCAAAAATAATAGTTTGAACGCCTAGAAGTATGCAGCAACTGATTAAGATTTACCTGGATACACTTTTTAAATTCTTTGACAGGAATCAGGTCTTCGACTGAAATGAAAAATGTAGGTCTTTTGAAGGAAAATTCACTTAACTTTTAAGTGTGTTATCAAATCACTACTCCAAACTAATTGCTATCTACATTTATTTAAATGAACGGCCAAAATTCATAGAGCTGTACTAGCCCAGTCTGGTATGTACGCATGCAATTCCGCTCATATCTCTGTGTCTATTAGATGTCGACCAGGCCACTCTATCATCGCGTATCTATGTATCAGGGATGGGCGTTTTTGAATGAATTATTATTGAACTAAAAAAAAAATTCTTTCATTTGAAGTATGATGAATGAAAATTTATTCGCCATTCGAAATTACTTGAATAAGAAATGAAAATTTATTCTATTTTTTTTTACGTATTCATTTTTCTAATTACGCCCATCCCAGTTATTGGCCATTTGCCACTTTTGTTTAATTATTAATTTTTAAGAATTTTTAATTAAAATACAGTTCACAACAAAAAAAATCAACGAATTTTCACCTAAATTTCAAACTTTTTTCTCAGAAGTGTTAGAATTTTTTTGGGTAAGCAGTTTTATAGCCCATTCAATTTTAGTTTGATAATGTGCAAGTTTCAAGTGGCTAAAAATTATTTTTTTTGTCGCATTTGCCTCAATATAACGAATAAACACAATTTTTCCTCACACCCTCGGCGAAAAAATCAACAGTAATTTTTAGCCATTTGCACATTATTAGACTAAAATTGATTGGGCTATTAAAAAAAATTAAAACCTTCTGAGAAAAAAGTTTGAAATTTGGGTGAAAATTTATTGGATTTTTTTTTTAGTTTTCTACAAAGTTTTCAACTTGGGTTTACAAGGGTTTTGTTAGAGAATGAACTGGATTTTAATTGAAAATTTCTAAAAATAAAAAATAAGCGTGAATGTCAAACAATATAACTTTGAAATGGGGGTTCTATTGTATTAGCCAATACTGGGCTCGAATCGATACATACAATATCGTACTACTCGTCACGTAAAACACATATTTTTCGGATTATGACATACGTTAACGTACTCTTTGTCCCATTCAGCTTATACTGCCTGACATATCACGTAATTTTCTTTCGTATGGTTTTCGATGCGTGAACGGATGTTACGATTCGAGCCCAGTATGTATGTTCCAGCGAAGTCAATTTAAAAACCATACTTACCGTTCGGAGTCCCAAAGTAATGCCTTACAAATTTTAGCTTTAATCTCTAGCTAAACTTTCGAAGTAGCGTTCAATTCGAGTGGAAATGTTGGTGAATCCAATTCAGTTTCTTGAGGATTTCGACTAATCTAGGTACCAATTCTCCGCCCCTTTTTTATTGTTGAAATATTTAGAAAACTGCTTCAGTTTTTTTTTTTTTTTATACATAAACTTTTTGTTTTGGCTTTATTTTATTTTTATCTATTTTATTTTTGTATTCCCATATATGTATGTATATTGGATTGTATGTGTGTATGTCAATTGTTTCAGAGACGATTAAAGACGACTACTTCGAAAACTGTTGATTAGTATTTTCGAATTGCAGCAACAGCGCTTATTTATGCTTTTATTCGTTTTTTAATCTTGGTGCTATTTCATTAGTCTTAGATTTTCTTTTTTGTCTATTTTCGTTACCGTTTTGCAAAGTTTTACTTGTCGCGTATGTATGTATTTAATTAACACTTTATTATTATTACTAAATTATCAATTAAATGTCAATTGTAAAAAATGATCGTTATTTTATTTGTTTTTTTTTTCTTTGCTCTTATTTGTATTTGTTTAAATTAAAAACTTACTAATTTACTTAGACCTTACAAAGGATTGACGATAATTTTAATTGTTTGTTATTTTCTATATATATATGTATGTATGTTCATTATAATTATTATTTAAACAGAGGATTGGAAAGCAAAATGCTTGAATGTACATTGTAAAGCAATTTTTCGATAACATTTTTGTTTTTTAACATTAAAAAGATTTTCTAACATATTTTCGAATTTGAAAATTCATGCAGATTTTTTCCTACTCATCACATGTTACAATTTAGAGAACAAAAGTGTTCGATGAAAGTAACTTTTCTCTGACCACGTTGTTTCATTTCAAGCATCGACGAGTAGCTTATGTACCCTATGAATTCTACTTTAGTAACATGTAGTATGTATGAGTAACACTTAGCATGAAGGATATTTCAAACATACATTATTCGTTATTGTGCAGACATCGGTTACCGTTTCAATTTCAGATTCGAGTTCTAAAGCAGAGTACTTTACTACAGCATAATTTTGTTTGTTTTTGCATTTCTTTTTCTCATCAGTGAATGTATTATTTGTATTACATGCTAATGCATGTTCGTAAATAAATCATTGCTTCAATGCCACTTTGTGTTTTAGGTTAAGTTTAAAGTCACAACACGGAAAACTTCGCGTGAATTTTGTTTTTATTTTATTTGGTTTATGATTTGTGAGATCTACTTTCCACCCTGCTCTTATATTCGCTCTCACGAGAAAAAACAGGCCTCCAAGATTAGTATTTTGATGCTTATACAAGATTGAATCAAACGAGTATCGGAAATGTTTTTCCCCTTGCGGACAATACAAAGACAGGCAAAAAGAATTGCAAAATAAATATATACATAGACCAAGATAAGGGTATATATCGTAGGTTTTACTATTTTTTGAAATTCCCAATGCACGTATGTAAGTGGTAGCACAAGGCAAACTCACACATCGGTTAACGGAAGCACATGATCGTTTTTATGGAATTCTAAACTAAATTTTTGTATAGCAGACTTTCACCGTTTAATCTACAAATCCTTTTCTGATCTCTCCGCCAATAGTTTGGACCTATTTAAGTAAATTTGAATTAGTTCAAAATAAATACGAAATGTTAAAAATAATAGTTGACTTGTCAAATGATTAACTTAAATATAATTGCTACCATAATGAAATGATTTACCCATTTGCGATTCATACAATATATACTAAGTTATGCTTTATGTACTTACATACTAGGGCGTTCTCGTATTGTTGTCATGTCTACACATGTCTGCTGTGGCTATAATTTCCATTTAAAGCGTCGCTCGACTCGCAAGATTTTATGTATGAATGTATGTATGTATGTATGTATATAATCTATTTATTAATTGTAGTCTCACAATTCACGGATGATTTTATTTAAATTCACTTTCGATATAATATTAGCATATTTTGTCTATTATACGTGTATTATATAATAGTAATAGTAACATTGAGAAAGCAGTTTTAATTAATTTCTTGCTTCATGCTCTTTTTTTCGTTATGCTTTACAATTTTTTTAATTTAAACGTAATTCACACTATAGCTAGGATGTACATATGTATCTATGTGAGTGTAGAAATATATGCAAGAGGAAAAATTAAACATAGAGAGTGGTGTGTACATATGTATGTACATACATATATGTATGTATATATAAGTGTAATAAAAATAAGTATACATCTAATTATACAAACAAACACTGACTTATCTTCATAAAAATATACAATAATAAATTTAGCGATGTAGATTTATTTAGTTAATTTTTGTATGCCTATACGCCTGTATTTGCTACGAATACACGGTGAGAAATTAAAAATTCAAATCAACTAATGACGATGCTACATAGCCATACATATCGTCGCTACCATGCCAAACAATCGAATGTGCAAAAATGCTTTTTCATTTACAAATCGTCGAATTTCTAGTCTTTATAGAAGCAGAGGATACTGGCCGTATCCCACACTTTTTCCTAATGACAACAACATTTTTTACAACAGTTTCTTTGCTCTCCTAAAAAGAACCGATTTTCACATTCGATCGTTTGACATGGTAGCGAAGATATGTTGGTCGAATTTAGTATTCAATTTCCATATTTCGAAACCCAATCACGTTTAGGAATGGGCTATATAAGGAACTATATATTTTAAAAAATAAAAAAAAAAAAACTGCATATTTCGATTTTAGAACAGCAAAACACAAAAATAATACATATCGGTAAATTTTATACGAAAGGCTTGAAAGTGTTTCTTGAAAATGGAACATGAAACCAGTGACTATAATTAAAAGAAATGCATTTTATTTATTTTTCAACTTCTATTATTTTGTGCAAGAAATGCCGATTATGTTTGCTCTTATATTTTAAGGCAAAAGTACACGAAAAAAAAACAAAGAAAAGTTCTGAACAAATGTTAAAAATTACCGAAAAACCTCGAAAAGTAAAATATGAATAATCCCGAAAAATCACGAAAACCATAAAACTAACAAAACAGACGAAACCAGAAAAACAACAAAACATTTCATTTTATTATCGTTTTTGCCTAAGAAAAAATACATACATATGTACAAATGTACATATCAAGGCGAATTAACACAAAATCTCATCTACTTCGTTATTGCTTTTTGGTACATCAGAATGTCAAAGCGAAAGAAAATAGGAGATAATTTTCGTCGTTTGTTTTGCTGGCATCCTGTAAAAAGCACAAACAAAATACACAAAAAAAACATACACACATAATCAGCTGATCTAGTAGCACCAACTTATATGAATACACCTTGATACATGTGTAATTGTTGTATTTTCTGCTCAAAAGCATATCTGCCAAATTTTGCTTTAATAATTATAAGCATTTCTCGCTCAAAATAATACAAGTCAAATTTTTTTAAAGTTATGACGTTGGTTCAGTTAAATTGGGACTTCAGCGCTTAAGTTCTCTTTCAAGGGAAATAAATTACACCGAACGAAAATTTGAGACAAATTGCAGAACCATCGCGAGTATATTCGTATTAACTTACCAACATTTTTCTCGCAATAGAATGAGCCGTTGAGGAATGAATTCAAAAAATTAATATAAAACTGCATGTACTTGCAAATATTAAATGCACGCGGAATTTGGGTGTAACTTTTGTCTCTTGAAAGAAATCTTGAGGGTCGTATATGAAGAATTTAAAATGACAGAACCATTTATTTAGTGACTGTTAAAAAAAAAGCGATTCCAAAATTTGTGTTCTACTATATGTAGCTAAGTGTGAGTATATATATGTATGTATTTATATATTTAAACTATTTGTTTGTAGTTTTTCAATAAAAACTGTATGTCTACTCGTGTAATAAATGTAATAGAAATATGTACAGCAAACGTCGTTCGATCAGTATGGAAATTCAATTTAAGATAGAGCGAGCAACGTTATATTACACTTAAATACCTTATATCTTTGCAATTATTTATTATCTAATATGAAAACATGTTTAAATTTATTATTTGAAGTATTTTCGAAAGTTATTTTCCAAATGCAAAACGTTTGTCCGTATCAATCTACACAATGCGACGTCAACTCGAACTGCGACAATCCACAAGCCACATGTACATGCAAATTCATCCATTCTATCTTATTTTCGGAATATATTTAGTAGTTTGAATTTCTCGCCGGGATGTGGGAATATATTTTTCGACTTTTTATGTATATCCTTTGATACTACATTAAATTTGTATTTAAAACTTTTCAATACATATTCAGTTCATTGTATATTCGTTTTTGTTGTTGCATTTTCAAGAACATTACTATCGGTTTTATTAGCGCTGAATTGTTATATGTTTATATTGGTATAACATGCGTACTCTTATTTTTTTTTTTAGTTGCTTCCATTTAAATGTTTATATGTAATAGCTTCCATTCAAATGTTTATATGTAATATATAAAAAAAAAGAATGTTATTTGCATTTCTCTATCTGCAGTTTGTAGATAAATTAAAAGGAATAGGTCGACAAGCGGTTTCCACACCATCTACCCATTCTGGAATTCATCTACATCTTTTTATCACCGACTAAATTTTTGATCACCGTTCGGCGGCTCCTACTGCTGCTCGTGCCAGACTGTTGCTGCTCTTATCTTCTATTGAACTCGGATTTTATAACTGCAAGCATGTGCCCACGATTATTACATATGCACACAATTAAAAATACTATGTAACACAATTTCAGTTGCACAACTGATGATGGTTGATGATAACTCACCTTCTATAATTTCTTGTTTGACCTTCTGTATCTCAGAGCGTATCTCTTTCAGAATATCAGCCTTTAATGTGTCCAACTCAGTGCTTGATAAAGCCAATGACAGACCATCACCATTAACCTGCTGTACGACAACAAAAGGCATATCAAATACAAATTTCACATGACTCGAATCATTACTGACCTTAAGTATCGTCTCTTCACTGGCGCTGCCAAAACGTTTGCGCATCGGTCGTGGTGATTCGCTGCCACTGTTCGATGTGTTGTTGGAAGCGGCATTGCAATTCGTGTTCGATGACGACGAGCCCAGCTTGTGTGGCAAAGTGTTAGACTTCTCCCAGGGACGCTGCTTCACTTCCGGCTCAGCTTCGGGCTATACGTTTAAGAGAGAAAGGTGTTGACTTAGAATTTCAAATCCCTCTGCACTTATTCAACTACTTACCTCTTTCTTCTCGGCCTGGGCACGCCGTCGTGCCAATGTTTTAGCCATTTCATCCATCATGGAAGCCATGCCCGATGAACTGCGGCCGATTGTGCCATAGTTACCGCTACCTCCGCTTGAGGTGCTGCTTCCGCTATTCTCTGTGGGTGCCGCAGTGGGCTGGAAGAGATTATAGGAAAGTATTGGGCTTAGCATATGAAAATAATTTGACAATAAACCTAAATATACTTTATTCTTCTTCAGCTTGGCCTGCTGCAACTGTGCTGCAAGCGAGCCCATGAGATCGGCTTGTGGATCTTCCTTTTTGGATGGTGGTGCGCCTCCCGCTGGTGGCGGAGGAGGTGGTGGTGGCGCCGCAGTTGCTGCCGGCGGTGGTGGCGGTGCAGCAGGCGCTTGTGGTGCGCTCCGATTGATATTTGTTGGCGGCGGCATTGGTGCTGGAGGAACACCGCCGGCCATCATAGGAGGAGCTGGTGCCCCTGCGCCCCCGAATGGTGGTGGGGGAGGCGGTGGAGGTGCAGCAGCTCCACCACCATTCTGCAGTACCCCACTTGGAGCTGATTGCTGTTGTTGTTGCTGCTGCTGATGCTGCATCTGTATTGTTTGGGCACCATAAACGGCACTGCTCGAGCTAACGGATGTGGGCAGCGCTGGCTGCGATTGAGATGAAGAAACGTAAATTGGTCCGCCGCCGCCGCCTCCACCTACACCATTTTGATGCGGTGGCGGCATTGGCGGCTGGGGCGCGCTTGGTATGCATTGTGGCGGCGGCTGCTGCTGTTGTGAATATTGATGCAGATTAAGATTCGGATTAGAATTAGATAACATAAAATGGCTGGGCTGATACTGTGGTGATGACGGTTGATGTTGTGGTTGCAATGGCGGTTGGTGATAGTTGGTTTGATAAGATTGATGGTGGAGGCGAGCAGGTTAGATTTGGAAGGCAGAGACGCGTGGACAAATCAGCCAATAAAGATAGACGGACGGGCGGACAGGCAGCAGGATTTGATTGTTTGGATATTTTCAGTATTTTTTAGTTTCGTTTTTGTTTTATATACAAGTATATGCGTATGTAGTACATATATTTTTTTGTTGCGGTCGAATGCCAATTTTAAATGAGTTCCAAAGTTATGACAAATTCAAATTTAGAGCCAATGTTACAACCGAAAATGATTTTAAAGCACACAAAAATGAGACAAAATTAAAGAGAAAATCAAGAAATCAGCAATCGAGCACAAAAATTAGGAGTTTTATTACAAATTTTCACTCAAAACAGTCGCTTAATTGCTTTAAAATCATACCTGTGCTTGTGGCGGATAGCCGGCGTTTACCAGCTGTTGTGCGGAATAGACGGCGTGCGAGGCCTGTGGAGCTTGTTGCATCTGCTGTGGCGCGTGGTACTGTGGCTGACCCGGAGCGGGCGGTATCTGCGCCTGTTGCTGCAATCCGTTCGGCTGTCCCGCCTGGCCGTATGGCGGCTGTGGCTGCGGTAGTTGCTGTGGCATTGTCATCGGCTGCGGTTGCGGAGCCGCCGGAGCGCTAAGGGAATTTCTTTAGTGGTGAAATGGATTTTTCGGATAGGCGAATTCGATTAAGGAGGAATTTTATTTTTTGTGATGACATGTGAGTTGAGGATTTCAAAAAAGTGATAGATGGCAGTAAAATGGTAAAACGGGTGATAAGTTAGTAAACAACAAATCGAATGTGATAAAAAAATTAATTATATTAAACATAGCAGTAAACAGTGCGATTCGGTACGACATAAATAGAAATAGGAGCAGTAGGTTAGTGAGGAAGGAGTAATACATTAAGTGATTGGTGTAAAACGGTGAAAAATAAAAAAATACAAAAAAACACGTATAAGTAAAACATATTCAAAACATTTTTGCAATGTATATTTTGTACATACAAATACTATCTACATAAATAAAAATAATTTGCAATTAAGTAACATCATCATTTAATACAGCTCTACCGATTTAGCTCATTCTTTTATTAATCTGTAGTTGAAAAGATAAGTTTCGTATGACAAAAATTACCGCCAGGTGGTGCCGGATTTGAGTTATTCGTAAAAATAGTACTTGTGGTCCGATAATACAAAGAAAAATCTTGAATGTCTTAGATGTGTTCGGCATCCCTAGTAAACCTTAGGCATATTTTTAATTCTAAGGTAGACGAATCAAAATGCACTAATTTTTGTCTGGCCAGAGAAGGCAAATCGCAAAGAATGTTCTATGAAGTTGCACCATGTTCAAACCAGAACCGGCATTCTGACTCTATGGACAGACCAATTCGGTGCATAGGAAAGTGCAATCGGTTATATCCGGTTAGATATTCGGAGCGAAACCTGTATCTGCTCTTTTAAAGAAACCAAAACGGCATATCTAAGGTTTCTATTCCAGAAGTTGTGCGAAGTTCCATCTACTCAATTAAATCAGATTTCTGGCTAGACCTACCCCTTCATTACTAAGCGAAATACTCTCTCGGTTTCTTTCCGTAAAAAACTAGGAGCAGTGTTACCGTTGTGCGACTAAATGGTCAAATTGACACTTTTTGGAGATCGATGCGTTGACATCGGCGAGGAAATATTTGAGGTAGTACTATTTAAGATTGACTCTTATTCAGAATTCGTATGAGCTGCATAAACTATTACCTAACCAATAAAATAAATTCTGTAAAATATAACAGATGAACTATTTTACTTTATTTTATTGGCAAGCATAGACTCAAGTTTTCAAAAATATATTGGCTTTCCAGGACTAAGTCGAAATTTTGCAGTTATTGTATCTTCCCTACAATAGCCATCAATAACGTTTTGACGTAATGTGGCGGCTGCTTACATACACTTGGCGCTAACTTATTACAATTCTAAAACAAAGTGTCACAGTTATCTTGACGGGAAATTTTCTTTGGCTCTGCATGCATCGGGACATTTACATACATACGAACACACACGCGTGCTCACATATATATGTACATACCTGCTGGTGCGATGATGTCCCTGCGGTGTGGGAGGGCTCTGTGGTATATTATTTTGATTGGTCTGTGAGGTTGGCGTCTGTGCAGATGGTGTGATTTGTCCTGTGATTTGTTGTTGCTGCCGCAAAATCGCCGCATCCTCGCTGGTCATCGTACGATATCCCATATCCTCCTCATATCCATTTCCATTTGTCGGTGGCCCACCCATAGCCATAGCGCCCATGAGAGGATTGTTGGCCACACGACCGCTGAGCACCTTAAATAACAAACAAACAAAAAATATAATAAATAAATTCTAAATCAACCGCAAAAAAGAAAAGTCTCACATCCAAAGCGTGCACCATGGCTCGAGCAAAGGCTTCCGCATCGTTTTGTGAGGAAAAGTTCAAACCATAAACAAATTTTGAATCGCGCCATTGATGGAATGTGGGCGTGGCTTGATTGTATTTGAGTCCTTTAAGTATGGAACAGTTGATCACCACCTCGTGATCCTGCAGTTTGCGTCCAACAATGCGAAATGTGTTGTTCAGTTGATGATGATAGATCTGCACTTTACTGAGGCCGGCTGAGGTGCCCGATGGCACCCAGCGTTTCAGGTTATCGTCGTAAACCATGACAGAGGCACGGGCGCCAATAATACTTTGTTCACTGCAAGAAATATAAGAGGAACAAAACGACAAAAAAAAAAGATTAGTGGAAATATCACATATATGTGCATGTATGATTACAAGATATGTTGAATCAAATGTCAACAACTTCAATGAGATTAACAGGAAATGGTTAAATGTGCAAAGTTCTTTTCCGCATACTTGGCTGCCATACATACGAGTATGTACATACATACATTCTTTTATATGTACGTTAGGAATTTATAATCAAGGTACCAATGACAGGCAGGAGAATAGTGAAACGTAACACCTGATACATTCGACTTGCAGCGGGATTCACAAACAAACGCACGTACATATAAGCGTAAATTGTGAGACGTTAAGTCAGCATGCTTTCTCACCGATGGCTGCACTGCGCAGAGAGTGAATGAATCATTTCTAATGAAATCAAGAACAAGTTCAGGTCATTAAGGAAATACGAGCAGTGTTGCTGCGCCTGCACTGATTGTTAAAGTTTTAGAAAAAAAAATGCGATAAGTGAGCCTTAAGCAAACCTCGAGTGAGGAAATCAAACAGCAAATTTATCTACTCGCAATGTGAGCAATTTACAAGCGATTGCGGCTTGCGGAAAAAACAAGCCACAGCCCTTTGCTTGGCAAGCAGCGCCACATAGACTGAAAGTCTTTGAGCGAAGCTCAGTGCAGCAAACTACTAGTATATATATATTAAAACGTATTTTAAAAACACTCAGAGATTAAAGAAAAAATTATCACATTGGTTATGAATAATACAAATCTGTCAGAATTTAAATCCAGTAGGAGCCACATACATTTGTATTTGCAACTACATATTTACACAAAAAAAAAAAAAAAAAAAAATTAGCGGAGTAGAAAAAGTCAACCCAATCGTGTGTGTTTACTAAAGACATGTTGCTGCTTATATGGGGCGACACACAATAGGCAAACAAGTTCTACAATTACTCCACAGTTGTAGCCAACGTGCACGCTACACATAACAAAGGAGGCGATTGTGCGACGAACAGCGGACAGCAGGTCATTGGTTCGCAGGTACCTACCAAGGTGCGATCTGAAAAAGGAAACAATAGAGGAGTCGTAAACGATCAAAACAAAAACCGCATAACGTTGGATACAACCAGCATAGGCGAGTACTTTGGCCGGCGAAAACTAGAATTAAAGCAAACAGATGTAATCCCCAATCGACAATGCAAAGCATTGAAGTGCTCAGCGTCTTTTAATTGCCCTCAAGGCATCGACGAAAATGGCAACTTTAGAGAGCTGAACATTTTGCCTACGAACAGTAATTGAGTACATACATATGTACCTGTAGCGACTCTCAACAGTCCACCTAGCCGATGGACTGCGCTGCAACTTGCCGACCAGGTCTTGCCCAAATGAATTGAAAACGAAAAAAATAAAAAATCGAAATTGGCAAAAGCAAACATCAACAGAAGGCGGGCGAGTCGAGGTGCTGCTGACCATAAACAATAAGAAAAAAGCCATAAGCCAAACTCGTAGCAAAGAATACAAACAAATGGCCAAGGAAACAAGAAATAAGCAAATTAAACGGACGGAGAACCAGTATGATTTAAGAGACATATGGCAGACTAGTTCCAGTGCTGGCTGCATAACATCGTCGAACCAGTCGATGAGTGTCAATTGCGACGGTGCGTCGGTTATGCTTTAGCAGATTATGCGTTTGTCATTGCGTCTACTGGCGCTGACGCTCGCACTGACAACAACAAATGATGGCAATGACGCTGATGACAAACATTTATAACGAGTCTTCGCACTCATACCTACAAATATACATATGTATATAGGTACATATATGAGTAGCTTATATTTTGGTATTACGTGTAATGAAAGGGAACTTCATACGCACCTTTAGTTGCCAAATGAGTTGTTGTTGCACAAAAAAAGACAAGATTTAAACTTCACCAAATATTTGAAGAAAAGTGAAAATATCATAAATACAGCACAACATAGCGTTAATTTGTAACAACTATTTACCAAACAGTTGGAGTATTTATTTGAAAGAAGGAGTCGTTGAGCTTTGAATTTGTATTTGCATGTTTACCCCGCGCGAAAATCGGCTGCAAATTACAAGTGAAATTCAAAAGGCACTCGAGCGTTTTAAATATGTAGTTTTCAGCCTTAATTGGCTACAGTTCAAGCAAAATACAAGTAAGTAATCAAAATAATAACTTAGTTAGATATGAAAAACGCAAGGTTTTATTTAGTTATTTTATTTTTCTGCTCATAAGCTAATTGGTGGCGTTCGCTTCGCGTGGCGCTTGATGCGGGCTTAATTGTACATAATTGTACGAAATTTAAGGCGTTGCGCTTCCAATTCGAGCAAATCAAGGCCATGCGAGCCGAAGCTACACCTTTCGATTCGCTCTTCTATGCCGAATTAGTGCAAGCAGCATAAAAATAGAAATTGAAAATCTTTAACGAATCGCAAATAAAAGCGTCTCAGTGATGCCACATCAAAGCCGTTGTTATGCTTTAACGTTTCATGTTGGCCAGGCCAATGCTGTGCACTTCGCAATATTCCAACTGCTTTGCCATCGATTTGTGATGCATCCATAGCACACCTATTGAGGCCATGACTCACTAGGATGTGTTATTGAACTCGCCACGGGCAAATGTAGAATGAAGCAATAAGAAAAAGAAAGCAAGCAAATAAAAATAAGAAATTAAATTCTGTAATGACACGTACGAGTAGAGGAAAAGCGATTAGAGCCATAAAAAAAAAATGAGAAGCAGCGAACGAATATCCAGCTGTGCAAAGGGGCCAACCGAGCAATGAGAACAGTGGTCGGCAACATAGCGAAAATACACGAACCCCGACAAAGTTCTAGGTTATTCTTGTGTGAATGTAATCAGCGATTGCGATTATTTGTTGATTTCTGAAAAAATAGTGCGGTGTAGTCAAAGGGGGTTCCGAAATAAGTCGAAGCAACTGTAAGAGGCAATTTCTCTATGCGGTTGTTAAGACACACAGCCTCCCCTCTGCTATCCATCTAGCGAATTAAGGAATTCCGGGACATAGTGCGTTTTGCAACTGCCACTGAATAGCTAGTCTAATCTACATACACATTTTTTCCAGCGCTGACTGTCGCCGGCCAATTACTAATTAAATTCGCGTTGACCGAATTATGACGCGCCGATTGGGGGTGATATTGTTGACCGCTATGTTGTTGTTGTTGTTGTTGTTGTTGTTGTTGCAGCTGTAGCTGTTGCATCCTATATTGATGCAATTGTTGCAGTCCGCCAACATTGTCAGCCAAACTATCGCCATCATTGTCTCCCTCCGACCTGTCGTTCTTCATGCAAATTGACGGCATCGAGTGTGTGTGTTGCAATTTGCGTAGATTATTGAACGACAGCGAGGAAGAGTGCGGCGATACAGTCGTAGGAGGCGAAGAACCCAGCAGTCTAGTGCTTGCCCTCGCTTCAACAATAGGCAATGATCCAAAGCCAGTGGCCGTTCGGTCATCATCGTCCGCCACGAAATCGGTATCATCATCGTCGTCCAACAAATAATGACCATCAATGCCACCCGCAGCAGAGGCTGGGCGCAGCGAACGACGCGGATGATAATTGTAGAAGTAGTCCAGCGAACGCGCGCCGCTGTAGCCAGTAGCATTGTTGACTATTTGGGGTGCTTCGTAGATGGGCGAAGTGGTTGTTGGTGTTACCGATGCATCAGGCATCGTAGCTGTTGTCGGCGGTGTTGACGCGGCCATGGGAAGCTGCAGCACTAGTTTATGATGCTCATAGAACGAAATGGCCGGGGCGGATGTTGTTGCCGCTGAGACGGCGGTGGCGGTGGCGGTTGCAGCTGAATTGGATTGACGCAGCAATTGATGTTGCTGCTGTTGGCGATGGAAGTGCGGGTGTCGATGATCGAGCATATTAAGTTGCTGCAGCTCCTGTATGGAGTAATAATAGTGCGCATCGTCTGGCGGAAACGGACGAGCGTTCGAGGGATTGCTCGCGGACAGCGACGATGCTGAAGAGGGCGTGCGCGATGGTGGTGGTGGAAAAAATGATTCATCTTCATTACTGGCAGCTGCGGCATCGGCAGAGGGCGGCACAGAACGTTTGTATATTTTGCGCAATGTTGCTGTGTTCATATCCATATCAGCAGGATGCTGTTGCTGTTGTTGTTGTGTGGGTCCGCTTTGATAAGCGAGTATAATTGGACCATGCTGCGGTTTGCTGATATAGATGCCGCCATCGACGCAATCCTGGTTGGCGTGTTTTTGGCTGGGTTTTTTGCTCTTAAATGACGCTTTGGCATAGAGTTTTTTCATTTTGTTGCAATATAGTTTTTAATTAAGTTTGATATTAATTAGCACAGTTTCGTTTTAAATTTTTTGCGCTACAAATAACATTTTTTTGTGCATAGTATATATTTTCGAATTGACTGTACTTTTCTTTTAATGCTATTTTTTCACTAGTGTTTCACACTCCTCACTGCGCTTACATAACTTGTTCTTTATTCACTCTACATATTCGTACAGCAACGAAATTATTGACTGCACATATAATTTTTCACATTCCATACCAGTCCTGCGCACAATAAAAAATCCACTAAACGCCAACGTTAAGTAATTGCTGAAAACAAAAACCCACAACGCAGTCGCACTCATCAACACACATTTCGTAAGCCGATTTCGATTGTCAATATTTCGCAAGCGACTAGGTAAATAGACAATTTAATTCAGCAGCGGTTCGAGTCGCCTGCAAATGTCCAAAATGTAGCAGATAGCTTGCACTGCACAGCTGCAAACGAAATGAGCAACGGAAACGCGTCCGCCAAGCGCGATCACAGCAAGACTTGATCGACAACTAAAACCCGCGCATAGATGCGGAATGTACTAATGGAAAGAGTCGAAGCTAAGATTGCGACTGCGGCGGCTGAGCTGGAAATCTGTCTGAAAGCCAGCCAGCTGCCATCGAGCCAACGCCAACAGCTCGCAGCGCCGATCAATTGACTCTTGAGAACAGCCAAACGCCGTTTTGGTATGCGGTTTGCGAGCGCAATAAAGCCGCGGAGAAACAGCGAACGCCTCGAGACACCGCAACGGGCACGTACTAACGATAGATCCCAACGTACGAGTACACACACACAGCAGTCCCTTTATGAGCATATCTTTCAGAAATCCGACTGCAATCATATTTAATGTTTTTGCCTTCCGCATTAAATTGTAAGTAATGAAGAAAGAAATATAGAATCGCAGCGTGTAGTTGAGAGGTGTTAGCGGAGGGCTGAACGTGGACAGTTTGATGAACACAGCGCACATCAACTAGAACGAACAATCCCAATGGAACATTGTACTGGGGCAGAAAATGTTGACGAAGAGAGCAAATAATCAACGAAGAAGTAATTACTGAGCTCCTACTTATTTACCTTTGATTGTCTGGATTGTCTATTCACAGACCATTCCAACACCAGCTGCTGCTGCTAGAGCTGGTTGAGCCACACCAGACAGCCAGACAAACAGCCAACCCGCCAGCAACCAATAGAAGTCAATAAAAAATATTACTTATAAAATCACTGCCATAAAAAAAAACGACGAAGTGCACAGACAGAGAGGCATACATAAGTAAAAATATGAAGAAATAAAAGCCATTATAAACAAGAGAATCGTTAGCGGTGCGAAGCAATTTCTAGTCCCCTGTGCACTCTAGGGTTGTTGTTACTTGTGTACTTGAAGCAATTGACGCTACGAACACATGTGTACAAATGTATGCAAGCATGTAGATTAGGCTGCTCGAAAAAAACTCTCACCGCCTCGGATTGTTCTATATAGGGTTACCATTTTGGTAAATTGTTACCAAAATAGGTAGAAAAAATTTGGGTAGGTAAAAAGGTAAATTTTTTTATCATTTTAGTAGACTTTTGTTGAATTATTTATATTAAAAATTTCTTTCCAAAAGTGTTGTCTGCTTTAAATATTTTAAATTATCGTTTAAATAAAAAGAAAAAAATGGACAGGTATATATGTTATTACGCACTTTGGTTGTTCGGAAAAAAATAAATAAATCAACGCAGTTGTTAAAAAAAAAACACAAAATTTAATAGAAATTTTTTTTGATCTTTCTAAATGTTGTATTTAGTTTCAATCCTTGATTTTTATGGATTTGGTTAAAGCGCAAACAATATTCTTATACTAAACAGAATACCAAAAGAAATTTCCCTGAAAAACATTGTGAATATGAAAAACAATCATCAAGCGTTTTGTGAGTCACTGTATTTGTCTATAATAACTCCGTTTGAAGTTTTTTCAAATGATGACGTTTCGTTGTTGCCTTTAGTGTCAATACTTTCGTTTTTGGTTTAAGGTATAATTAGCTAAATTAAAAGTTCCTTAAAAACAATTTTAATTTTTATTGAAATAACTAAAAAAATAACAAAACTACAATTTTTATTAAAATATTCAACTAAAAAAAAAACGTTATTGGTAGATATTTTCCAGATTTGGTAATTTTTTTCAAGTGGACTGTAGGTATTTTTTTCGTCGTGGCAACTCCGGTTCTATATCGAAAAAATGTACCCCTTTTTAATTCGGAATAAAAAAAAAAGAACTTAAAGGTTGCTCAGAGTTTTCCATGTATTTTATATGCGAAAAAAAACATTATTCGTGGAAATGGTATAGAAAGTCAATATTTTTCGATTGCGAAACTCCGTTTCTCTTCAGGTGACTTCCAATAATAATACCCAATTATTTATTGTACTATTTTTTAATACTGGCGATTATTTATGGGTCACCCCATTGTATTTTTTTTTTTGCTTTAAATATGCGGCCTATAAAAAATTTTATTAAATAATGGTTATTATTTGAAAGTCTCTTGAAAAGAAACAAAATCCGATCGAAAAATATTGATTTTGAGCAAACTCTAAATATATTATTTCAAATAAAAAAAAACAACTTTGCTTTACCTTTTTTATCACCCTAATGCAGATACACCAGCAGTAAATATATGTATGTATGTATGTACCCTACATACATTTTTGCTTAAACTAAAAGATATTTGTACATTGGCGCTGATTGTGGCGGTATGTGGCACATTCTATTCTATTCATTAAGTCAAATTGATATCAGTGGGAAAATTCGAGTACAGAAAATTGTACGGATAAACGAATATAAATGAAGTCAAATTATGGAGCAATTAAAAAAGATGCGCGCATGCGTTCTAGACCGCCAGCTGATTACTCGAAGATACGATTCAAAACTGTGCTTACAGAAAACCACAAAAAAAAAAAAAAAAACAATTAAAAATTGGAGAAATAAATATGTTAAGTGCAACGGTGCATTTGTAGTTATATTCTTGATATTAATTAGTCTTCTTTGATTGATTCGTGAGGTTGCTTGTTTGCTGGCAATGCAGTGCCACGGAATAACCATTTCACTGGCAACGCCTCTTCATGTCTCAGAATATTTTCATTTTTAGGTCAAAGTAAAGTGATTCAATTAGTACTTGCCATTAAGTACGAATGCATGAGCTTAGTGGGCTGAGATTTTTAATTTTTTTTTTTTGAGGGAAGGGTATACACATACATACATACATACATACATATGTTAACGTATGTATTTAATTTGTTCATGGAATTTGAATCGTTTATCTACAAATCAACTTAAAGAAAAATCACTTAATAATCTACATACATATTTATGTACATACATACATACAGGCAATTCGCAAATTAAATATAAGTTTACTAAGAAACTATGGAATTACATAGGCTAATGATGCATCTGTAAGAAGCGTCACACTATAGGACGAAATGAAAATCTCGTGAAATTAATTGTTGCATAGTTTAAGGTGCTAAATATAGCGAGTTTTTAATTCATTTAATTTTTATTTTTTTGTCCGAACCAGGCACAAAAACGAAAACAAAAAACTAGATAGAAAGGTGCCAAAGGTGTTGCGGATTTCTTCCATATACAAATAAATTGAGTTTATTCATTATATGGAAGCCAATGCGACAAAAAAAATCCTAAAAAATAAACGGTAATTCGTAGCCACTTCAAATTTGCACATTATCAGACTAAAATTGAATGGGCTAAAAAACTATGTACTCAAAAAAATTCTAACACTTCCGAGAAAAAAGTTTGAAATTTATGTGAAAATTTGTTGCACTTTTTTGTAGCTTTCAACAAATTGTTACACTTGGGTTTATATGGGGTTTGTCTGAGAATGAACTATATTTTAATTGAAAATTCTTAACAATTTATAAATAAACATAAGTGGCACACAATATTACTTTGAAATGGCGTGCTATAGATATGACCGATACTGTACCTATGTATACATATGTATAGCAAATACCAAACAATGGATGGTAAATTTTTACTCTGGTTTTGATTGACAAACACATACCTAAAGCACTTTTGAAGTTTTTATATAAAAAAATGCTTTTTGTAGTTTTTTTTGTATTTGGTTTTTATTTAGTCTGTTTTCGTGGGCGCAAAGCATTTACTAACCCAAACCATAAATGCTATAGTTATTGGTCTGAGTGCACGTAAGTATGTATATAACTTGGGTTTATATGGGTTTTGTTAGAGAATGAACTATATTTTAATTGAAAATTCTTAAAAATAAATAAATAAACATAAGTGTCACACAACATCACTTTGAAATGGCGTGCTATAGATATGACGGATACTGTATATGTATGTACAATACACCGTACCACCTTGCAAGCAAACAAAAAAAGTTCGCGGTACACCCCTGAGTCTAACTAAAATATTTTTTCAAGGCAATTTCGAAACCAAAAATCGAAATACTTTCTTAGCAAAAGTTTATTGATTTGTAATGAGCTTTAATTTACTGATATTAGGGTGGTACGTTAGGATAATAAGAACTGCGATCTGGTGGGTAAGTACTAGAACGGAGTACTTGAGATCAATGAACTATGGAATAAAAAAATGTTTTCTCGAGACAATAACATCGATGTATCATACTTTAAGATGACAAAAAATGTAAAAAGGGCAAAAAATTCATTTTTTTTTTTGTCTTCTGGAAGGTCTAACGTACATATGTACATACATACATACAGTTGTCCACAAAATAATAGGAGTGGGATATTTTAACCTGTTTTGGCTATTTGTCTTTAGTTTATTTAATGTTTCGTATTTTTTTGTAAAAGCCTAGCTGGTAATACAACAAACACCATATAAATTTACATTTTCAAGTTTGTATAAAAATTATAAAAATTCTGCAAATTTTCACCAAAATTTCAAACTATTTAACCAGAATCTTTAGAAAATATGTTGGTATGCAGTTTTGTAGCCCATTCAATTCTAGTCTGAAGAAGTGCAAGTTTCAAGCTGCTAAAAAATTCCGTTGATTTTTGAGAATTTTTTCGGTTGAAGGTGTTTCACGTTTTTTCCATACAAAGTATGTTCGACAATTTTCTTTTATATGGGGACAGTGCCAGCAAAAAAAATTGCCAAAAATCAACGGAATTTTTTAGCAGCTTGAAACTTGCACTTCTTCAGACTAGAATTGAATGGGCTATAAAACTGCATACCAGAATTTTCTCTGAAGATTCTGATTAAAAAGTTTGATATTTTGGTGAAAATTTACAGAATTTTAATAATTTTTGTACAAAGGTTGAAATCTGAATTTATTCGTTGTTTGTTGTATACCCAGCTTGACTTTTGTATAAAAATAATAAACATTAAATAAACAAAAGACAAATAGCAAAAACTGACCAAAATAACGCACT